GGACCATCCTGCGTGGACCCTGAGGTAATTAGGGTTAGGTGGCTTCGTCTGTCTTGCCCTCTGGGGGTGAGTCTGTGGGACCCTGTTGCCTCCATGTCTCATGACCGGCACTGTATAGAAATGACTATGGCTGCCTGGGACTTTAAGACAAATGCTTTGAAAAGGTGCTTCTATGATGCCTTGTGTTTTATCCTGGAAAGATCTTGGTGATTTTTCTTTCTACTTCAGAATATAGTCATGCTGCTCTAATATAAAAATAAGAACTCCCCCCAGAAAATCTTTGGATAAAATCAATTCCCCAGGGAGATAGACTCTGGGCTCCCTGACTGACTAAGTACTTTCTCTTTGGGAATTTGTGGATTCTAATTTAAGAAGCAAGCATTTGTGTAATCAAAGAATTCTAAAGTATTTTCCACAAGCATGTAGTTCCATAGCTTTATAAATAAGTTCCTTTTTGCTTTCCTTTCACATTGATATTTTTGTTCTTAACAAGATTGGGGATTATTTAATACCTGTTTGAATCCTTATAACAAAGGGGTAATGGGAGAACATCATAATTATGGGCTTAGTTTTGGTACCATAACCCACTCCTCATACACGTTTCTGCTGATTTTCAATAGAACATGTAGGTTGTGCTGTTTCATGAGCTGAAGAACCTACATCAGCCCTTGCTTTTCCCAGGGTCTCATCCTCAGTTACTTCTCGGTTATGGCCAAAGTAGTTGGAGCCTAATTCTCTGACTAATTTCTCCATCACAGGAGATGGATATATATGCACATATTGATTAATGATTGGGAAGAGAAATTGTGTTGAATATTATATTAAATGATGCCATATTTATGAGGCACTCCATGGGAAAGTGGAAGAGTGTATTGATATGACATGGAAATGTACAAAGTATTGTTAGGATTTTCTTATAAATTTCATATTTAGCTACTTAAGGCCCCTGGAAGAAGGAAACATTACCTACTGCTGTCTACTCTCTCTTTCTGGCTGGCCCAGTGCATTGAAGGGCTCTGCTCTGCAGCTTGGCCAGCCACACCCCTTGGCATGGCAAGGGTGTGTAAGGATGTGCATTCATGGAACCTGTGCCTACCATGCCTCAGGTACCTGAGACCCCTGGAATTCCCTCCCCAAACACCTTGTGTCTTCCCTGGGGTCATCCCCGTGGGCTCCACTGGTAGTGTGCCTACCTGCTTTGTGGACTGGCCAGGGCTGTATGGAGGGGTGTGGACTCGGATGCACGGACTGGGGTGTCTACCTGTGCACACGCTCTGGTCCCCTCCCAATATGGGATGGAGCGGGGGCAGAGAGGGCTGGAGAGAGAGGCTTGGAGGTGAACAAAGCTAGATACAGCACAAGCCACGTGGTGGGACTGCTCCGCGAAGGTCCCAGTGCAGGGACAGAGCTACCTGTGCCTGGACGGACACTGAGCACCAGGTGCTTGGAAGAGCTTCCTTCCTCCAGGACTGGCACCTCTACCACCACTGTCCCCAGAAATGGACCCACAAGATGTTCTGACATTGTCTGGGGTGCATCTTCTGCGTGCCACCTTGCCTGCGCCTGGCCTCTGTCGTGGAAGGCAGCAATCACAATGTTGGGGAATTCCTCAGGAGTAAGAAAGGAATTCCTCAAAGTGGTAGGAAATTCCTCAAGAATAAGAGTGTGTTTAGTAGATGTAATGTGTCTACAAAGCAGAAACAAATGCTTCCTTCCCCTGCACTGGGCTTCAGGCATTGAGGAAGGCACCTTGGGTTCTGGTGACAGCTCCTCTGTCCCCAACTGTCACTTCTCCTGTGCTCGCCCTGGGTATGGAATTTCCTGAAGGACAGGAAGGTGCCACTGGATGAAGTCAGTCCTTCCTGGAAGAGGGGCTTTTGTTGGGGCCAATATGCTGCTCATTATTAATCCTTATTCTTAATTACTGCTTTTGTAATTTAGTTCATGTTGAAGTTTCTCATTCAAGGTCTGTTAGAAAATTGCTTTTATGCCTTAAATAAGCATTTTCATTTTATCTTTAATAAACAAGTAGCTTTAGGCTGGGCGCAGTGGCTCACACCTGTAATCCTAGCACTCTGGGAGGCCGAGGCAGCTCAGGAGTTCAAGACCAGCCTGAGCAAGAGCGAGACCCTGTCTCTACTAAAAATAGAAAGAAATTAATTGGCCAACTAAAAATATATATAGAAAAAATTAGCCAGGCATGGTGGTGTGTGCCTGTAGTCCCAGCTACTCGGGAGGCTGAGGTGGAAGGATCGCTTGAGCCCAGGAATTTGAGGTTGCTGTGAGCCAGGCTGATGCCACGGCACTCTAGCCCGGGCAACACAGTGAGACTCTGTCTCAAAACAAACAAACAAACAAACAAACAAAAACCAAGTAGCTTTATATGTGTGTTCTATGCACCACCACTGTAGTCATGTTTGTGATATGCTGATGTTTCCAAATATGTCGTAGTCACCAAACACCAGTGAGATTGTCCTGGGGAAGATCTCACAGTAGCCAGTGTTTTCATGTGACTATCATATAAAGCCGTGGTGTGCTGCAGTGGGTGGACAGGGCTGCTGGGGGTGGGGTTGGGCTGCCAAGGCCTCTGGTCAACCTAGGCTCCAGCTTACTTCTGGGCATGGGTGTCACTATCTCGGTGCACTGCCAGACTGCAGCTGGACACTGCTGTGCAGAGGGCGTTAGCTGGTCTGGAACGCCAGACGTCATACAGGCACCACTGCACCCAGGGCAGAACGGGGGTGGGGGTGGGGATAGTGTGTTATGGCTTATTAATTGATTGGGTGAGTCAATCTCTTTCCCTTCCTCAATCATTTTATTTGATGTGGAAAATTCAATCTGAAAAATAACATAATGGAATAAATCTGTGACTTTTTATTGTTGCTGGCATTTTTTTAAAGGTTTGAGTTTTGCTATCTATAAACCATTTTTTAAAAATCACAAGGGACATGGGCAAGTGGGTTCTGAACACACAGTGAGTATGCATCTGGCACTATAGTGCTCACACTCCAGTCCTGTTCCCAGCTCTCTCTTCTCAGGGCTGTCCCCACCACGGCTCATCTGGGTGGGAGCTCTTTGTCTAACTCCTTGGGTAGCATTTCTCCTGTATGATTCCCGGCCACCTCCAACCACAGTGACGGTCCCCCTTGCGTTCCTATTCTCGTACCTACACTCTCTCCTTGTCCCCTTTTGATTCCAGGATGGTTTTGGTCCCCATGTGTCTAAGGCAAAGATGGTGAGTAGGTGTGTAGATTCCTCCCTTCCTTCTCTCCCTCCTCCTTCCTTCCCCAAGTACTGACTGAGTCCTTGCTACATGCAGGATGTGTAGGTTGAGCCCTCCTCACAGGGGTATGGGAGATGGGGGGCAGCCCGAGAAGGGAAGGCGACAACCAGGGAAGCCGCCCCCCGCTGCTGGAGCCAGCAGTCTCAGCACCCTAGCGTGCTGCACCAGGGTCAGCCTACGTGAGGAATGACACCTGGCTTTGGAGGAGGGTGTCTTCTTGCCCTAGGAGAAATGATCAGAATCAGCTCAGAATTGGTCAGAAATCCCAGAAGCCTTCAGGCGTGAATGGGAAGAATGGAATTACAGCCCCGGGAAGCACACGGGGGTGTCCAGAGGCAGAGTGGCAGGTGCTAACAGAGGGGCGGGGAGGGGAGCCTGAGGGACACAGGGCAAGCTGGGCAGGGAAGGCTGGCAGGGGGCGGCTCTGACTCTCGGCTAGGGTTCATGCAGGAGGGGGTTGGGGGCCGGTCAGGTGCTGCAGAGATGTCTGGTGAGATGGAGACTGAGGGTCCCTGGCATGGGGAAACTAGGAGGCTTGGGCAGAGCATCTCAGGGAGGGATGGATGGAAAGTGGAGACAGTGAGTACACAAGTTCTTAACCCTTTGCACTCGGATGTCGAGTGTGGATAATGTCAAGTGGATAATGAGAAAACAGCAAGCGAGTGCAAAGGATTAAAGGGAGATTCTGGGGCAAAAAGGAAGAGGGAAAGTGAAGTAGTCAGAGGGGTGTGGGCAGTCACTTTCTCTGCAAGAGCCTGGCTGGGCCTTCCAAGTAAATCCATCTCTCCTGCTGGTCCTTCGTCCCCTCCCCCATTTCATCAATGTCCCTGTGACTGTGACGTTCTCTACATAGCCCCTGTCAGCTGCAGTTGTTTCTCGGGCACACTCATGGGGCTCGGGGACACTGTCCCGGGACTAGGAACGGGAGGTGTGGGGGGCTTCTCTTGATTTGTGTTGACGAGCCCCCGTGCCTCTGGTACCTAAAAGTTACACTGGGCACTGTCTTGTAAGTTTAAAGTGAATAACAGGTTGGGATTTAGTACATGTAGTCTAAGCAAAATGCTACGTGTTGGATTAGTCAGGCTGCTTTATCGATGGGCATTCAAAGGCCTTACGCTGGGGCCTTGCACGCTTTCAAAGGCCCAAGGAAATCATTCTGGCATGAAAAAAAAAATTAGACTCCAAAGTGCTAAAAGAAAACTGAGTGAATGGTGAACTGTCTATAGGACATAACAATACAGCTCTCACAACTCAGCTCTTTTGAAGTTATTTTAAATTATGTAATACAGGGTGCAGGTGTATCGTAAATGCCTTGTACAGGAAGAGTAAGGATGCGTGTTCTTAGACTGGGATTGCCTATTTTTTCTGGCATTGGTGTGTTTCTCTCTGGTAGGGCCCACGCTGTATTTCCACATGCACCCCCAGAGGTGGTTTGATTCATTTCTGCATGCCCGTGTCCAGCAAAGTTCCAGGTACATGTGTTGAATGAAAAATAGCTTGAGGTTGCCAAGCTGTTTGTATTCCTCACCCCTGGGACTGGATTTCCTGAGAATGTCCTGTCCCAAAGGCCTCTGGAACATAGACTTTTGAAACACTGGACTCATTTTCTTGAGCACTTATTAATAAAAAGCTTTCTGATGCTTCCTGAGATGCTCGCAGGGGTCAGTGACTTCATGCCTCTTCCTCCAGCTTCACCGGTGTGCTCTTCCTTCCCCAGGCAGACGCGGCCCCTAACGATGCTGACTCCCGCCTGAGAAGCAGGACCACCTGGTGCAAGAAAAGGCCTTCTCTGAGGTAACGGGGCTGGGTCACCCCAGAGCCTTCTAGCCTTTTCTCACAAACAGCTGACCTCCTCCACCCTCAGCTCCAGGAACCCCTGAGATATCTTCCACTGTATGTAAAAATATTTTGTCAGCACATTTTTCTTTGGGGCAGCTCCATGGTTTCATTAATATTATTAATAGATTTTTTTTTGAATGAGACTGTGACCCCAGAAGGAGCCACTACCTGCCTGCTTTACTAGGTCACCTTTGCTGTGCTCCAGCTACGCCCTGCTGAGTGGCAGGCCCCCATGCTGTGCCTGAGCTCTCCCAGTTCCAGCACATTCCAGGCCTTGCTGTCTGTTTTCACACCGCTTTCACGTCAAGCTCAAATTCTTGACTTCCGCTGGAGACAATACTGCTTGCTTCATCCCAGGAGCGCTGGGCCTCGTGGTGCTGCAGGTGACAGCCTCCGAGCATCTCCCATGAGCTGTCTGTGCCTACCGAGCCTCCCCTCTGTGTCTGGACCTGCCTCTCCCTGGCCACACCTCAGTGAGTCAGGCCCAGACATCCCCCTTCTCCCCTCTGCCCTGAGTAGTTCTCACATGTGCTCCTGCCTGCCTGCTGGTCACTGCTGGCTGGCCACCCCTCGTCCTCTCCCCTGGGGACCTTGGAGGCAGCCTGCTCTCTCGGCTTGCCCTCTGTCTTCAGTCTGTATTCCACACAGGTGCCAAAATGCCCACGGAGAATGAAGTTCTAACCATTCCTCACCCCATGACTTAAAAGCTTTGAGCGATTCTCTGCTACCTGCAAATTACAGTCCCAGCTCCTCAGCAAGCCTCTTCATGTCCTGGGCACGTGTAGCCTCATGGCCTCACTTCTTGGCACGGCCTTTGGTGTATGCTTGAGAACTCGACATTGCCGGATCCTCTCCTGCCGCCTATTCCAGGCTGACAGGGCCCTGTCTTCCGTCCCGCCCTGGGCGTAGGTTCCTCCCCAGGACGCTCCACATCCAAGTCTGACTCTCTGCGGACGTCCCCACTTTCCCCACGGCTGCTGGGCTCCTGGAGCCCGGCTGTGGCCTTTACCCCTACTTTTGTTCCCAGAGCCAAGGGTGGATGCAGGAATGTGGTAGACATTCAGTTTATAATTGTTGAATGTGTCAGCTAGTGAATAAAGACATGAATGGATAACTGAAAACATTTTACTGAAACTTATATTTGTCGTCAGCGCATGGGGCGATTTCTAACAGCTAGCAATCTGAGAGTGACTGTTTAGCCAGAGAGTATGCTAAGCCCTTTTCCTGTGGCCACTCATTTCACCCTCGTAGCACCATCCGTGACAGATGCTGTTGTCCTCGTCCCCATTTTGTCAAATGGGGGAACTGAGGCACGCAGGCTGAGCCTTCATCCCACGTGCCGTCTGTGGTGAGGGACTTGCTGACTTGGGTGGGCAGCCTTTCACCTACTGGCACTACACAGGCCAGTCGGGGCTGGCTCCACCTTGGGATTTCTGTGTTATTTGAGGGCACGATGGGGTTGCGCTGATTTTTGTTGGGAGTGTGTGTGTTGTAATCTTGGGTGCATCCTTTACCTCCTTCCCTCCTGACATCCTCATTCCTGTAGGCCACATGACCCTCAACGTCCATCCTGAGGCTCGGTGCTGGCTCCTTGCTCCAGGGTCCTGGGGGCTCATGCAGATTCAGAAAGGCCTCCGCTGAAGTGACAGGACACTCCCAACCCCAGGCCTTTTCCCAGAGCAGTTCTGGGGCAGGAGCAAGCCTGGACCTGTGGGGCTCGGCCCTCCCCTTTATAGTCTGTTAGAGCAAGAAGGGCTCTGAGATCAGCTGGCTCCTTGCCTGCCTTGTGCAGGTGGGGAAACTGAGGCTCAGGGAGGCGATGTGTCCAAGATCACCCTCCTCTGTGGTAGAGGCCGCCAGCCTTGGACCTGTGATTAAACATTGTTTGTCCACAATTAATTCAGGATTATATCTCGAGATACACACTCTATAAAATTCAGTCTGGCATCTTTCTTTTCTTCTCCTCTGCCTAATGGCCAAACAAGCCCAATCTTGTAACTGAATGAACGAGCAGCTGGCAGCGTTCAGCTGATTTCATAATGCCCTTATTTTGTTGATGATAAACTAATGCAGGTAACTGATTGGCCTGGAACTGGTGATTGGGAAACATGTTAACCCTTTCTTTTCTTCCTCTCTATCCTAAAGCCTTAAAACTCACTTCTGAGACAGTGTTCATCGGACAGGCTGCAAGGCTTCAGGCCTTCTGTCTTATTCAATCATCTGAACGTAGTTTAGAAGTATGTATGGTAATAATGCTAGTAATCTAGACTCATTGGAGAGAAAGCCTGTTTATGGGAATAAAGGGTCAGAATTACAGGATATTTAAGGAATGCAGTTTTACCGCTCTGGGAGAAGTTTCAGGGCTTGAGCCAGGCTTAGGGATCAGTGTCCTGGTACTGGGGTAAAGTGAAGAGAATGTGAATGGGTGTGTCTCGCATGCTTAGAAATTCTTTTCTTTTCTGAATTTGTTTTAGAAAGACATTGTAATATTTTTTGTGCCTTTTAATGCACCTTCTTAAATAGAACATTTTCCAGTTAATATTCATGTGATCCCATCATTAGGGTCTGAATGATTGTTGTGTTAAAATATTTTGTTTGCATATTTACTTTTATTCTAAACACTATACTATTTTAGTGACTTTGTTTTGTAGCTAAAGTAATGGGCATGTTCTCCTTCTAGATTTGCTCTATTGGACAAGTACCTAATCTGATTATACTGCTTGCCATGTATGTAGACAAAAGCCTTGTGTAATTAAATTAGTAAGTTACCAGGACCTTGGTTGAGTATGTTGTCCTGTCACTGAGCAGTATCTGTTATAGCTGATGCTGTGTTGGTGTGGCCTTTTAAACCACTCAGGGAGGCTGTGGATTTTTTTCTCTCTTTTCCTTTGTGATTAGATTCATACAATACTCATTTTACACACTTAGTATATAAAGTCCCAGACAAGGGAAAACCCACCAAACCACAAGAACCAACCTAAATTTAGCATATTGTTGTAATTTCTTTTAGTCTTTTTTGTGCAGTTCTGTGTACGTATATCATATTATACAAGCAATTTTTTATCTCACATTATAAAATGAAGGCATGACCTTTGGACTAACCTCGACTTGCAGGAGACATTGTCCAGTGGGTGTTGGTGGCAGGGTACATTTGATGTGAGGAACAAATCCACACAAGCAAATGAAAGCTGGTTTAGGGGTTAGTTTACTTTGGATGTAGACTAGATTTTGGGGAAATTTAAGTGGGATGCAAGACTGGAAATGTATATTGAAACATGATGGAAGATTTTTTTAATCTTAAATTGTTGAGTTTGTCCTCAATTCTGTGAAAAATCTTCATCTCCAATCCCCAACTCCCCTTTTTTTTAACCAGAAGCCAAACATGATTACATTAATGATGCATAAAAAGCTAATTCATCATTTTGACTTGGGGTTGAGGGTGGGGACAGGTGGGGTGTCAGTGTATTTAGTTTCAGAGATTTGTTGTAATAATAACATTGTTGTGTTTGTCTTTTCCTCCATTTCTGTAGGAGAATATGAAAGTGTCACTCAGACTTGTTTGTTTCATAGCTCTACTGATTTCTTCTCTGGAGGCTGGTAAGTTAAGCATTTCCTTATGCTCTTGTCTGCTAAGAATATCTATCTATTAGTTAGAATATATGAAGTACCTTCCATAACAGAGTCAATTTTTTTACCCATTTCTGCTGAATCAATCCCAGGACACAAAGCCCCCGGTTATAGACCTGTACTGCTGGAAGTTCCTGTCGGCATTTTCGTTTCTCATTCTCTCTCTTACAGATTGGGAAACATTAAGATCCTGGGGTCATGTAGCTAGTTCTGGAGCAAGAGCTAAACTCTAGGTCAGGCATCCTCGAACTACGGCCCGCGGGCCACATGCAGGTGTTTTTACCTGTTTGTTTTTTAACTTCAAAAATAAGATACATAAGGCCCAGCACAGTGGCTCACGCCTATAATCCTAGCATTCTGGGAGGCTGAGGCAGGCGGATTGTTCAAGGTCAGGAGTTCAAAACCAGCCTGAGCAAGAGCGAGACCCCATATCTACTATAAATAGAAAGAAATTAATATATATATATTAATATATATAGAAAAACTAATATATATATATAAAGAATTAGCTGGGCATGGTGGCACGTGCCTGTAGTCCCAGCTACTCGGGAGGCTGAGGTAGGAGGATTGCTTGAGCCCAGGAGTTTGAGGTTGCTGTGAGCTAGGCTGATGCCACGACACTCACTCTGGCCTGGGCAACAAAGTGAGACTCTGTCTCAAAAATAAATAAATAAATAAATAAAATATGTGCAGTGTGCATAGGAATTTGTTCATAGTTCTTTTTGAACTATAGTCCGGCCCTCCAACGGTTTGAGGGACAGTGAACTGGCCCCCTGTTTAAAAAGTTTGAGGACCCCTCCTCTAGGTCTCCAATGTCTAGACCAGGCTTCTTCCCACTTTCTTGCTAATTGAAGATTATGATACAGGAAATTCTGGCTTTCATTTAGAAGAGGTGAATCCATAGTTTCTATGAACCCACGTCTAGAACCCATGTCTAGAACCCATGTCTAGAACCCACGCCTAGAACCCATGTCTAGAAACCATCAAGAGACTGTTTTGTTTTGTTTTGTTTTTCTTTCTATTTCTTCATTTTCTCTGTGTGCCAGGTACTAGGTACTGGGGAAGAGCAGTGAATAACCCAGACAGACATAGATGCTTGCATGGGGTTTATATTCCTGTAGGGGAGAGAGCCAATATATTAGATAAATAAACATATATTATGTCATATGGTGATAAGTATAGGGCAGAAAAAAAAAAAACAACAAACAAAAAACAGGAGTGTAGAAAGTCTTGGGATTGGAATGGGAAGAAGGTTACATTTTTGATAGTGTGGCCAGAAAAGGCCTCACTGAGGAGTTGACTTTTGAGTTGACCTGAAGGAAGAGAAAAGAGAAACTGTTTAGATGCCAGGCTGGGGTGTGGGAAATATTCTAGGCAGTATATGCAAAGGCCCTGAGGCCAAGAGTACTTGGCCTGCTATGGCAACTAAAATACCAGGATGGCTGGAGCATAATGAGAGATGAGGGAAGTCATAGGGATGAGGCTATTTGGGTGATGGGAGGATGGTGGAGAATTGATTATGTGGAATCCTGCAGACCTTTCTAAGAACCTTGGCTTGTAGTCTGCCTGAGATGGGAAGACTGCAGGGTTCATGGTTCAGAATTAGAGAGGTGATCTGACTTAGATTTTGGTTCCTGTCTTCAGAACAGATCCTAGGGAGACAAGGGCAGAGATAGAGGAGCTGGTTAAGAGGCTGTCATGAAAATCCAGGCAAGCCATGATGGTGGCTTGTTCTAGGTAAGAAATGTTGATGGTTTGTCCAAGGGTGGCAAGGAGAAGTGAGAAGTAGTCAGATTTTGAATATATTTTGAGAATAGAGCCCACAGGGATTTGCAGATGGACTGGATGTGAGGTTTGAGTGAAAGAGAAGAATCAAGGATGACTCCAGGGGGTTTGGGGCTGAGCAAATGCAAAGTGGAATTGCCATTGATGGGTGGGGCAGATCAGGTGGTCAGACTGGACAGGTTAAGTTCAGCTGTTGGTTAGCTGTCCTGTGTCTAAATGGTGACATTGACTAAGCAGTCTAGAGCCTGAGGGAGAGGTCTGGGTTGGATTTATAGAACTGGAGACCTCAGTAAGCAGCTGGTATGAGAACCATGAGTCTGAATGGAGTCCAGGAATGTGGTTGGAAAAGATAAGAACTTCAGAGACTGAGCCCCATAGCTTTCTAAGGATTGATGGCCAAGCTTCCACTGGTCAGAGAACCACTGAAAGACTTCCCTGAAATACAGGAGGAGAACAGAAAAGTGTCCTAAAAGCCAAGGAAAGAAAGTGTTTCAAAGATGAGAGAATGATAATAATGCATCAAATTACATTCAAATAAGATGATGTCTGAGAGTTGTTTATTTGATTTAGCAGCTTAAAAGTCATGGGTGGAAAAATTTTGGCGGAGTGGTGGGACAAACCTCACATAACTAGGGGAGTATGTCCAGCTGAGGACTTACTTAAGGTTTACTCATTTTATCGCTACTATCGTTGTTGCTTCTGCTATACCTAGTAGCTAGATATTTAGAAGTTCTCACTCTGTGCAGGTACCATTCTAAGTTCCTAGCTATTTTTATTCCAATTCTAGTTTTTTTTTTTTTAATTCACATAAAGTTTTAATTCTAGTTTTTTAATTGACAAGTAGTAATTTTCCATATCCGTGGAGTACATAATGATGTTTTAGTACATGTAATGTGTATAGTGATCAGACCATGGTAATTAGCATATCCATTATCTCAGTTATTTATCTTTTCTTTATGTTGGGAATGTTCAATATCCTCCTTCTAGCTATTTGAACCAAATAATGTATTTTTGGTACCTATAGTCATCCTATAGTGGTATAGAACATTAGAATTTATTCCTCCTATCTAGCTGCAATTTTGTATCCTTTACCAAATCTCTCTCAATCCCTCTCTTCCCCTTACCCTTCCTAGCCTCTAGTATCTTCTGTCCTACTCTTTACTTCTATAAGATCAACTTTTTTTAGCTTCCACATATGAGTGAGAACATGTGGTGTTTTACTTTCTGTTCCTAGTTTATTTCACTTAACATAGTATCCTCCAGTTCTAAGTATGTTGCTGTGAATGGCAGGATTTCATTCTTTTATATGTGTGACTAGTATTCCATTGTGTACATATACCACACTTTCTTTATCCATTCATCTGTTGTTGGACACCTAGGTTGATTCCAGGTCTTGCTATTGTGAGCAATGGTGCAGAAAACATGGGGGTGTAGATGTCTCTTCAATGTAACGATTTCCTTTCCTTTGCATAAAGTCCCAGTAATGGGATTGGTAGGTCATATGATAGTTCTGTCTGCAGTTTTTTTGAGGAACCTCCCTACTGTTCTTCGTAGTGGCTGCACTGGTTTACATTCCCACCAACAGTGTGTAAGAGTTCCCTTTTCTCTGTATGCTTGCCAACATTTGTTGCTTTTTGTCTTGTTGATAATAGCCATCCTAACTGGGATGAGATGATACCTCATCCTGGTTTTGATTTGGGTTTCCCCTGTGATTAGTGATGTTGAACATTTTTTCATATCATTTATTGTCAATTTGTATGTCTTCTTTTGAGAAATGTCTGTTCAGATTTCTTGCCCATTTATTATTTGTTTTTTTTTTAATACTTGAATCCTATTTATTTCCTTTTTTATTTTTCCAGCATATTATGGGGGTACAAATGTTAAGGTCACCCATATTTCCCTCACCCCCCTCCCTCTGGAGCCATTTATTATTAATGGCATTATTTCAAAAGATTGGAAGTACACATGCTTTTTGTTACATGGAAGAATTTTATAGTGCTGAAGTTGGGGCTTTTAGTGAATTGGTCACCAGTATAGTGTACATTGTACCCAATAGGTAATTTTTGATCCCTCTTATCCCTCCTACCCTCCCCTTCTTAGTTTCCAATGCCCATTACACTACTTTATGGCCATATATACCCATTGTTTAGCTCCCACTTATATGTGAGAACATGTACTATTTGTTTTTCCTTTCCTGAGATTCTTCACTTAGGATGATGGTCTTCAATTCTATCCAAGTTGCTGCAAAATACGTTGTTTCATTCCTTTTTATGGCTGATTTATATCTTTGCAATTGTGAATTGTGCTATGAATGACATTTTGGTGTGTCTTTTTGAGATAATGACTTCTTTTCGTTTGGGTAGATACCCAGTACTAGGATTGCTGGATTGAATGGTAGGTCTACTTTTAGTTTTATGAGTAATCTCCATAGTGTTTTCCGTAGAGGTTGTGCTAATTTACATTCCCACAGTGTATAAAAGTTCCCTTTTCACTGTATCAGTATGAACATATATTGTTTTTTTAATTTATTAGTCATAGCCATTCTGACAGGGGTAAGGTAGTATCTCATTGTGGTTTTAATTTGCATTTCCCTGATGATTAGTGATGTTGAGAATTTTTTCATGTTTGTTGGCCATTTGTACATCTTCTTTTGAAAAAAAAAATATCTGTTCAGGTCTTTGTCCACTTTTTATTGGGGTTGCTTTTTCTCGATGATTTGTTTAAGTTGTAGATTCTGGATATTATTCCTTTATCAGATGTATAGTTTGCAAATATTTTCTCCCATTCTGCAGGGTGTCTATTACTCTGTTGATTATTTCCTTTGTTGTACAGAAACTGTAGTTTAATTAAGTCCCATTTATTTGTTTTTGTTGTTGATGTATTTGCTTTTGGGATCCTAGTCATAAATTCCTTGCCTAGGCTGATGTCCAGAGAGTTTTTCTTATATTTTCTTCTAGAATTTTTATGGTTTCACATCTTACAGGGATCCTAGTCATAAATTCCTTGCCTAGGCTGATGTCCAGAGAGTTTTTCTTATATTTTCTTCTAGAATTTTTATGGTTTCACATCTTACATTTACATCTTTTCATGTGCTTACTTACCATCCGTGTCTTCTCTAGTGAAACTTCCAAACCTTTTGCCCATTTTTTATTGTGCTATTTGTTTTCTTATTGTTGAGTTTTGAA